TACTACTACTACTACTACTACTACTACTACTACTACTACTACTACTACTACTACTACTACTACTACTACGACTACTAATACTACTACAACTACTACTACTACTACTACTACTACTACTACTACTACTACTACTACTACTACTACTACTACTACTAATACTACTACAGGCTATTGCCTACTCTACTACTACTACTAACTACTACGACTACTACTACTACTACTACTACTTCTACTACTACTACTAATACTACTACAACTATACTACTACTACTACTACTACTACTACTACTGTACTACTACTACTACTACTACTACTACTACTACTACTACTACTACTACTACTACTACTACTACTACTACTACTACTACTACTACTACTACTACTACTACTACTACTACTACTACTACTACTACTACACTACTACTACTACTACTACTACTACTACTACTACTACTACTACTACTACTACTACTACTACTACTACTACTACTACTACTACTACTACTACTACTACTACTACTACTACCGCTACTGCTACAACTGCGACGATGAGGAGAAGGAGGAGGACGGCGTTTACCGTTACTACTAATATTGCTCTCCTCGGGGCACCAACTCCTAGGTAGGGTCGCTCTGGGATAATTTTCAAAGTGTGGCTCTCGCCATAGCGCCGCGCACATTCGTTTCAAACAATTGCAAGAGTTTCACCGATTGAGGGCGGGTCGTTTTCAAAATGTGGCTCTCGCCTTAGCGCCGCGCACATTCGTTTCAAAAAATTGCAAGAGTTTCACCGATTGAGGGCGGATGGTGCTCAAAATGTGGCTCTCGCCTTAGCGCCGCGCGCATTCGTTTTCATAATTTGCAAGTGCTTCACGGACTGAGGGCGGGTCGTTTTCAAAATGTGGCTCTCACCATAGAGCCGCGCTCATTCTTTGTAAAATTGTGCAAGAACTTAACGGATTGAGGACGGATCATTTTCAAAATGTGGCTCTCGCCTTAGCGCCGCGCACATTCGTTTCAAACATTTGCAGGAGTTTCACGGATTCCCATGATCAACGTACCAGAAAAAAAAAAAAGGTGTTTTGGTAGGATTTCGGATTACGCGGATGCAGCAAGTATGTTGCTTCGCGGTGTTGAAGTCAAAACAAATGGCGTTATGGCACGACTCCGGATCGCCAAAACGCAGCAGTCAGGTTGATACTTGGCGTTAAAATCCCGAGAACAATATTTTGGTATGCTTCAGGATCGTCAAACGATTGTCTTCCAACGAGGCAGTTCCCTCAATGGAAATGAACCGTTGTATGGGGCCTATGAAGAGGGAGCTTGGAGGGAGGGTTAATTCCAACATCGTTGATGACTCTTGGGTTTACACTGGTCCTCCTCCTCCTCCTCCTGCTCCTGCTCCTGCTCCTGCTCTTGCTCCTGCTCCTGCTCCTCCTCCTCCTCCTCCTCCTCCTCCTCCTCCTCCTCCTCCAGCGGGAGCCTCAAAAAACGACTCAGGACGAAAAACCGGCCTCGGGGAAGTGGTCTACAGGCACGCCTGCGAAGCAGCTGGGGGTACGGAGGCCCTTCCCGCGCTGTGGCAGGACACCGTTTCTTCGGCCACGGCGTGGCGGTTCGCAGTCAGTAAGTACTGCGATGCCACGTGATAATGGTTATGTGCCCCCCTCCCCCTGCCCCTCTCTTCGGCTACACGCAAGAGCGACCCCGGGCAAGAGTGACCTCTGGTGCGCGGCCTCACGGGGCGCGGGGTGGCCTAGTCCAAGCGCGCAAGCAGCCGCCAACGCATCGCGCTCAGCGATCGAGGGGGCCCCGAGGGGCCCGCACCAAGGGTCCCTCTGGCGCAGGACCACTCCTGAGTGTAGCCGACCCCTGCGCGTTCGTCCTGCCGCGCGCGCGATCGATGCTAGAGAGGTCCCGTTCCCCGTCGTCGTCGTCGTCGTCGGCGTCGTCGTTGTCGGCGTCGTCGTCGTCGTCGTCGTCGTCGTCGTCGTCGTCGTCGTCGTCGTCGTTGTGCGCGTCGTCGAGATCGTCGTCGTGGTCGTCGTCGTCGTCGTTGTCCTCGTCGTCGCCGTGAGGGGGCCCCGCTGAGCCCGCACCAGGGCCTCTCCTGCGTGCAGCCGACCCCTGCGCGAGGCCGATCGCTTCCCGACGGTGCCGGGGGCCCGACGGCAGCCCTCGGGAGCGCGGATGGGAAGGCCGTACCTCTCGAGCCTCCAGCGCGATATCTCTGCTCGGGTCGCCGGCGGAGGTCTGGATGATTTTGGTGGACGTCTTGCGAAGCACACCGTGCGTGGGCGCGGGGACAGTAGAAGAAGGAGGAGAATAACATAAAAGACACATGAACATAAACAGTTGTCGCTGCGCGCGGATTTCTTGAATCTGCGCTGGACCCCCCTCCCTGGCGCGCGGAGCGCGCCAGGGGCGGCGCCGGAGGCGCCGTCAGGCGGGCCCAGCGCAGATCCAAGAAATCCGCGCGGAGCGCCGAAAGTGTATGTTTACAGCGTTTTCCCTTCTTCGAGAAAGAGGAGGAGAGGAGAGAAAGGCCCAGCATCCCGAGGTTCCTGCCAGGGAACCCCACCAGCTGCCTCAGCCCTCAGAGCGGCGGCGAGGGGCGCCACCGAAGGCGGGGAGGGTGGCGGGCTGCCGGAGGTCTGGAGGCGGGGGTTCATCGCGGACGCCCTCGCACACAGCGGGCGCAGCTAGAGGGAAACATGGCAGACACATGCACGCTGGTCGAAACAAGTAGGTAAAACCATGAAGTAGGAGGGCAGATGAAGCAGATTGGTTTCAGGCCCTCCCTGAGAATGACAAAAGCAGCAAGCGCATATCGATTCTTGGAATGGAAAGGCGCTTGAAGTAGACTGGGGTCTGGGAATCCCACATCACCTACTTTCAACGACCAGCGTGCAAACTCTCGGGGGTCCGCGCGAATTTCCTGAAACGGCGCTGGACCACCCTCCCTGGCGCGCGGAGCGCGCCAGGGGCGCCGCCAGGAGGTCCAGCGCAGATCCAAGGTATCTGTGCGGACCTACGACAGTTATGTTTAGGCAGTAATTGTTGTCTCCTTCGAGTGTTCGCTGGCCGACGCGCACAGGCGGCGCCAGAGGTGCCTCTCTTGGGGTGGGACTCGATGCGCACACCACGTTTCCTGGTCGACCGAGGAGCTCGGTGCACAAGCGCCCCAGCTGCCCAACCTGCGCGACGCTGAAACGTCTGCACTAGAAGAAGAGCAACACTATAGGCATGCACTTTCTGACCTCCGCTCGGATTTCTGGGATCGGCGCTGGACCACCCCCCTGACACGCCAACCGCGCCAAGGGTGGCGCCAGAGGCGCTGACAGGGGGGTCCAGCGCCGAGCCAAGAAGTGCGCACGGGCCTCAGAGAATCGGGGATGGACAGACCTCCCTTTAGTAAAACGTGGTTTAGTGAAAACGACTTCGGGCCCAAACCTGGCGGGCGCAAGCCTGGAAAATAACGGCCACGGCGCCCTCTCGAAAACCGAAAACGGACAATTCACTAGTCGACGTGTCACTGTTGGGGGTTCTGTCCACCCCCGAGAGAAATCATGCTTGTGCCTTCCTGCTTGCTCTTCGGCGCACGCCGAGTTCCTTCGCGGAGCTCCGGGACTCCTTGGTCGACCAAACGACGTGTTGCACACACGGCGCACTCCGAAACCCCTGAACCCAAGAATGCTGCTATCTCTTGGGGCCTGGAAATTGGCACCAACACCAGCACAGGGGGCTGCCTCCTCCTGGGGAAGATGATGCTAGATGTCGGTGTTGGTGGTAATCTTTCGGTCGCCGCGGAAGCCAGAATATGACCACCATCACCGAGATCGGGATCGTTTTCCCTCGGTGGAGGCACACCGCCGATCTTGGTGTTGGTGTCAATCTCTAGGCCTGGGCCTGCGATATCCCTTAGGGCACATATGAAGGGGCCCCAGGACACACAAACAAATACACACAAATAAAAAGATTCCCCACATTTTCCCATATCTTCTGGATTTCTGTCTTCCCCCCCACTTCCCATATTTTCCCATATTTTCTGAGGAATCGAGGACTCATTGTGTCTGTGTGCTTCTTTTCCTCCGGAACATATCTTACTTCCATCGCCTTCCGCCGGCAGAGCCGCCGCAGAGTCTTTCTTCCGCCCGCTGCCGCTGCCCTCCGCCGAGGCCGGGTGGAGGCTGAGACGTCGACTCCTTCGGTCCTCGCGAGGCCCTTGCCAGAACTAGAGGAAAAGGAACTATGCACATACACCGATTCTGGCAAGGCCCATCCTGAGCCCAGGATCGGTGCATACGCCCTCCTACCTTGGCCAGGAAGGCATATGCACCGATCCTGGGTCAAGGATGGGCCTTGCCAGGATCGGTGCATGTGCATAGGTCTCTTCGCCCGAAGAACCCCTCACATCGAGCACCAGGGCGGCCCCCCTCTCAGCCGCCCCAGTACGGAACACGCAGCCCGTAGCGTGCAGGCACGTTTTTTTTTTTTTTTTTTTTTTTTTTTTTTTTTTTTTTTTTATTTTTTTTTTTAAAAAAAAAAAAAAAAAAAAAAAAAAAAAAAAAAAAAAAAAAAAAAAAAAAAAAAAAAAAAAAAAAAAAAAAAAAAAAAAAAAACGCACGCTCGGCGCGCTACGCTCGCAAAGACGTGGGCCAGCACTCGGAGCTAACAACGCAGCGCGTTCACGCGGACGTCTCGAACACGGTACCGTTTGCGTTTGAAGACGGGCGTCTCAGCGCAGCTGAGACCGTTCTCCGTCCCTTGATTTAGGTCGGGCCTGTCCCTCTACAGGGGTGTTTTGGACGAAAAATTAAAAATAGTCTGAACATACCCCAAAATTACAACAAAAAAAAAAAAAAAAAAAAAAAAAAAACAAATGACTATGTTTTGAATATTTTTGGATATTCCTTCTGTAGAGGGACAGGCCCGACGTAGCCCTTGATAATCGACGCGGTGTGCACATCGAGCCACCCCCCGCCCCTGCGATCCCCGAGGGCGCCAACCGCGCCGTGCGCTCTCGGATGCCTCGAGGGGTGCGGGCCTCCTCTGCGCGGCCGCAGCCGCGCCGGGGCAGCCGACGGAGTGGGCTCCAGGCGAAGAGAGGGAGGGGGGAGGGGGGGGGAAAGGATTCGTCCTCGAATACCTCAAACAAGTGCTTGCATGTAGGGGAGTTTACTCCGTTGTCCAAGGTGGGAGGTGGGGCACAATCCTCAAACATCCCTGCTCCCCAAGCAGCACTTAGGGCCTCCTGCTTGATTGTCCAAGGGAACTGGGCCTGACCGTCGGTCTGGCGGCTATGTTGTCGCCGTCGCCGCCCCGTGACCGCATCGTCGCCGCCCGTCGTCTGGGCCTGGGTGGCGGTCTGGCGGCTATGTTGTCACCGTTGCGGCCGACCACATAGATTGCATCACCTAGATTGCACCACACAGAATGCACCACATAAATTGCACCACACTGATTGCACCATACAGGTTGCACCACACAGACCGAAACGCATGTATGGTACCACATTGCATGCTTCATATAGACTGCTAGAAGCACACTGTTTGGGGCACACGCTGGCTAACATGTAGAGATCTGTATAAGTATATGCAAAATGTGTTGTATGTGTACACATCATGTGAATCTATAAACACATACAGTCGTGGATGTAGATGCATATAGCTACGTATATGTACATGTATGTATATATACACATATATGGTAGCTCCCCCCCACGGGGACAACATGTTCACAATTGCGAGCCCGAGAGCGTTGAACCAAAACACTGTCATATGATGATGCAGATGTTGATGCAGTGGTGTTGCAAGGGCGTCGGCAATTAAAATGGAAAAAAGACAATGATCACTTAAACCTGCAAACAAGGAAACGTATAACTTGAAACATAAAGCAAACGTATTGGGACCATTTTTTCCTGTGAGACCCCTGCAACCTAACAACAAATACGAATAATCCTTCACAGACCCCTGCTTTGAATCATAAGTGCCAGCGGTTTTGAGCATTCTAGTTCCCTTTCCGATTTTGTCCCTTTCCCGTGCAATTAAACAGATGAGACAGCTTACCATCAGAACAACTGATGACTTACCGTGCAAAACAGCAAGAATAATCGCAATTGCAAGCAATACGGAAACGCCTTGGGACCACTTTCCCTGTGAGACCCCTAAGCAATCTAACACAACGAAACAACGTACGACAGATCCTTGGGAGACCCTTACGAACTCCCAAACCCACGTACTCTCTGGATTCGCGCTCCCATCCAGATGTTCTCCCTATCCCCTTAAAACTAAAATCAATAAGAAAAGAGACACTTACAAACAATAAGTAGCATTACACCTAAAAGCAACGTTAAATATCAGTAAAACAATGGGACAACGTTTTGGAAACATCATCTCTGTGAGATCCTAAATCTTTTTTGTATATATTTGTTTGATGAAACCAGGGCGACCACAATTAGGGGTAAGCTTTCTGTTGCATGGGCGCCGTGCTGGGCATTGCCAGGCATTGCTTGGCATTGCTTGGCATTCCTTTGCGCTGCCTGGCATTACTTGGCACTGCTTAGCATTCCTTGGCATTTCTTGGCAATGCGTGGCATTCCTTGGCATTGCTTGGCACTGCTTGGCATTGCTTGACATTCCTTTGCCTTGCTTGGCCTTGCTTGGCCTTGCTTGGCATTGCTTGGCATTGCTTGGCATTGCTTGGCATTGCTTGGCAATACTTGGCATTGCTTGGCATTGCTTGGCCTTGCTTGGCCTTGCTTGGCTTTGTTTGGCATTGCTTGGCATTGCTTGGCATTGCTTGGCATTGCTTGGCATGAAGCACCAGGGGAAACCCGGGCACCGGGGGGCCCGAGGCATCTGGGGAACCTGGGAAGCCGGGGAACCCGAGGAATTTCCGAGGAACGGGCAAAGTAAGCCCCCGAGGCACCAACCTTTAACCAAGTAAAAAGCCCTTAGGTAAGCCTAATTGGGGAAATCAGAAAATTCACATTTGAAAGCAATCAGAAAACGCACAACTAAAAACTGTAAGAAAGCGTCTTGGGACCACCATCCGGCAAGCCACAACAAAAAAGCCTTGAAGGACTCAAAAAAAAACAAAACATCACAGCTGTTCGACATTCACGCCCCGTTCCCAGTCTTCTCCCTCAAAAATCAATGAGAGAATTTACAAGAACAAATAATTAAACTGAGCAGTAAACACAACAAGACCATTCACAACTAAAAGCAATACGAAAACGTCTTGGGACCGCCATCCCTTTGAGACCCCGAATGAAGCATGAAATGCACTGATACTTTTGCAAAGACCCTAAAACCTCAAACATAAAAAAGTTTCTGCATTCGCGCTCCCTGCCCGATCTCCCTATTCTCTTGCAATTGATTAACTAAGGAAACTAACCGATTAAAGCAATACTAAAACGTCTTGGGACCACCGCCACTGCGAGACCTCTGGAACAAATGCTTGATTCTGAAATGTTGTGGAAAAAACACTGAACATTGAGAATCCTAAGAATCAAAGATTTCGGCAGTTCGCGTCGTGCGTGCGGGCGAGGCGAAGCTCAAGAGCCGTTGACCGTCCCTCCTCCCTCTTCGGTGGGCGGGCGGTGGCCAAGTTGTCTCGCCGTGGTGTCCCGTCGCTGTCCGCCTCTCACCCGCGGTGAGCATGCGGTGGCCAGGTTGTCCCGCCGCGGTGTCCCGTCGGCGTCCCGTCGGTGTCCCGTCGGTGTCTCGTTGGTGTTCCATGGCTGTCCCGTGGCTGTCCCGTCGCTGACCCGTCGATACTCCGTCGGTATCCCGTTGGTGTCCAGTCGGTGTCCCGTCGCTGTCACGTCGGTATCCCGTCGGTGTCCCGTAGGTGTCCCGTGGTGAGATCGATCGAGTGGGATCGATCGTGGGATCTCATCGCGGCGCAGCATCGTCACCACACGTCGTCGCCAACTCGAGGGCGCAGCACCAGCATCGTCATCATCACAGCCATCGCAGCTGTCGTCAGTTTGTCGTCGTCGTCGTTAGCATCGTCATCATCACAGCCATCGCAGTTTGTCGCCAGTTGGAGTGAGACGGCGCATCGTGTTCAGCTATGAGCGAACTTATCCAGCAGAGCAAGGAGGCTGATTCAGGAACCAGGTGACGAAGGGCGAGCGCCGCGGAGTCGGAGTCGGCGAAACGGTGGCGTCGACCAGACGTTGCAGGTTTAGCCGAGCAATCGCTGACGATAAGATCGGTCCGACCGACTCCGAGGCCTGGATTCACCGGCCCCTCCCTCCTGAAACGGGAGAGCCCCAAGGATGTAGTCACACAGCTGCACTACTTCCTGGAGGAGACTCGGACACGAGAAACGCACTCGAAAGAGAGGCTTTCCATCCTGGCCGAAGTGGGGATGCAGGCTCAGATCCGCGTCCTACATCTCGGGGACGTACGTTGGCGAAGCATGACGAGCAAAAGAAGTGGAGACCCTATATCGAGAGCTCTCCCACTGCCTGCCCATGTTCCGGGTTGTAGTTCACGAAGGCGAGAGGCCCTTTGGGGACCCGATGGGGAGGGATTGGGCCGCACTTGGACGTGGACACGTTCCGCATCCAATCTGAGGAGGCCAAGCGAAAGGAGCTGACCGTATATGTCCATACTCGGCTGCGTAGCGCCCTCAGGGTAGTCGAGTACTTCAGGCCGCAATTTGTGATCGGGGACGGCCAAGGAGCCCTCATAGTCATTGGACCTCGGCCACCACTAATCGAACACGTTCTCCAGTCAAGAAGATCGGGCCGAATCGGCCCATGTTGGGGTAAGATCCACATGGCGGGGCGCAGGAAGACGTACACGAGCAAGAGCATGCTGGATGGCGAGATTCTGCAAGAGGCAGTGCCCGAGCTGTCGTCGCCGGGCGCTGTGGAGCCGAACGTCGAGTGCGCAGGCACCGGGAAGTCAGAGGCGCTAAATGCTGGGCCCCCACTTACAACGACGCGAAGATCGGGACAAATCGGATCGGGATAACTCGAAATCTCTGAGAATCGGCGGGTTTGGAGGATGTATTGGGCGCCGCGGCCGCTCCAGAGCGTTCTGGAACGCTCTGAGAGCGCTCCGGAACGCTCTGGAGCGACTTATCCCGATCCTAGCCCTGTTTTACCACTCTACCAACTCTCTCCAGAAGCGAGCGAGCTCGGTACGATGGTGAACGTTGCCGGGGTCCGGACCCGGATGGACGTCCGACGGACGTGGACCAGCACCGCGCGCTGGACCTTCCGACTGCGCAGCAGTGGCCCCACGAGGGGGCGTGCGCGTGCAACCGTCGGACGTATCTATACATATATATATATATACATATCTATGTAGTGTTTTTGTATGTGTTTTATTGTATTGTTCATTTATGTTATTGTTTGTTGTTTTTGTTTTTGTTCGGACGTACCTGTATATGGGCGTTGCTTCAAGTGCAGAGAAGCAGGGCGTACGGAGGCTGAGCGAGGATCGCGCGCCGCCGACGCAGGATCCCGACGATCGGGAGCACGAGTGCCTCCAGGAGGACGCGCCAGGGGCCCCCCCAGCAGCGGAGGATGACGTCGCAGAAGCGGTGGGAGTGTCAAGCCCTGCCACGACGGACGGAGGGGTGCGGTTCGCATCCGAGATCACGGTGGCCAAGTTCGTGGAAACTTCTGGAGGCCTAGCGGGCGGTCCGACCAAGGAGGATTCCCAGCTCGTGAGGCCAAACGAAGGGATCCAGGAATACTGGACCGCGGAGCCATGGGCAAAGTCGCTGTCTCGGATACTCAGGGGACGATGCAGCCCAGCGGTTGGAAATCGTAAATAGAAGGTCGCCCAGCATGACCAACGGGGAGAATGCCGTCCCGTCCTCGCGGTAGAATACGGGTTGGACTGGAGCCAGAGCGTAGAAAATAGAGAGCGGTACCAGGTACCTCGTGTTCAGCAGTGCGTCTGCAACGGGAGTGCCGTCAGCTGCACAATCCCGCTATGGCAAGACATTGGCAGGGCGGATTTCGAGCGCACCGACCTTCGCCCTCTCCATGGATGCTTGGACGGCCTCGCGGCAGTGCAGGCCGGGACCGCTTCCCACGACATGGTGCATGCCGTTACAGCCGACATCAGGAACTTCGGGTCAAGCTTCGGGCTGGCCCAGAACTCCATGTGGGCTTGGATCTACGGTGAGGGGGACAATTGAGCGAGACTGTCGGACAGTTCATGCGAAGCATGAGAGCTCGTTGCCGAAGCGGGGCGCCTCGGGCTCGGTGCTCATCTCCGGTGAGACGTACGACGATTCTGGGCGGGTCATGCTGCACGCGGGTTCGATGATGACGAAGGGTGGCGATAAGGCCGAGGAAGCGATCATTTTAAGCGGGGCCGGAAGAAATGCTCAGAGCGCGCCGCGACCGATTCCTGCCAGACGTGGCGATGGCCGCAGTGTTCGAGCAGACGGAGCTCAGCGTAGAAGGGCCCCGCCTCCTGGTTACCGTCGAGATCAGTCGGTGGATGATCTATGACCGGAGCGGAGGGCTTGAGCTTCGGCACCCGTATCAAGCAGAACTCGGAACGACACGCCAAGAAGAAGCCGATGCCGTGGTGAGACCATGCCAGGTACGCGAGGACCCGGCATGCAGATCGAGAAAAGGACGGCTGCGGCTCGATCGGGACCTTAGAGGATGAGCCTGGGACCACCACGGAGAGTGCAGCTGGACGGGGCCTGAGCAGTGAAGAGAGGAAGATGAACAGAGAAGAAAGGCTCGCGCACTACCTCGAGGTAGATGAGAAGCGCGAAGCCCACCAGGCTCGTGCCGAGGCCGAAACAAACGAATGCACGCACTTCAAGATCGGATCCTCGGTCAGGGACCTGATCCGCGACGCCCAGCGGCGCGACCCATAGGTGGAAAGAATCCGAGAGAACGTGACAAAGCAAGGCCATGAAGGCTACCGATTAGAAGACGGGTTGATCGAACGATTTGCTAGCTCGAATGCGCTCTACAAGCGTCAATGGGTGCCCGTCATACCGCGCGTGTATGTGGGAGGCCACCGCACTTGGAGGCACTGGATATTCCTTAACTGCCACGTCGGGATATGGGGAGCGTATCGGAGTCCAGAGAAGACTTACCATACCGTACTGAGGACATGCTGGTGTAAAAAATACGAAAAAAGACATTGCCAAGTGAATATCCGTGTGTCGGATCTGCCTACGATTCCGCAAACTGCCTCAGAAGACCCTGAAAGACCGTCGATGCGGTAAATATGGAGTGCTGGCGGGAAGTGATGATAGATGCAGAAAGGCCCAACCCTCTGACTTGTCACGGCAGCCTGGTTGTGATGACATGCATTTACCGCAGTGCCACGGATGATTACTGGAAGAAATGAAGACGAACTCAGCTAAGAAGGCGAAGCGAGCCTTTGCGGAATGCATGCTCCGCAGTGATACGATTCTCTCGATGGTCCGCAGCGACATACGATTACGATGGAGTTCGCTGAGATCTTGGGAATCGAGCACAGGTTCGGGACCCCCTTCCGCCCCATGGAGCAGGGGCTCGTCGAGGGCAGCCACAAGGAAGTACAGAAGCTGTTCGGAATCCTGGTCAGGGATGTACTGAAGTGTTTTCCTGAAGAGATAGGCGACTTGTACCCAGTAGTGGAGTATATGGTGTAGAACACGCCTGGGTCGAATGGGTACACGCCAAGAGACTTGGACAGGCGCTGGTCGCTGACGACGGAACTGGAGCGAGAGATCCACCAGGATGCGGTGAACGAATTCGAGCCGATGTCGGAGTACGAGCGGGATCTGCTCAAGATGCACGTCGAAATTAAGAAGCGAGTGCTAGACAAGATGCGCGACGCTGCCAAAAGGGGCGCCGCCTTAACTAACAGGACTCAAACGAATAAGAGGCTTCAAGCAGGTGACCGAGTTTGGGTTCGAGACCACCAGCCCAATCGGGCTAGGGGTTGGAAACAATGGAAAGAATCCCTATCGGACCCGGCGCTCGTCATCGAAGCGAAAGGTGCCGAACTCATTGTTCGTCTACCAGGTGGGTCTCAACGCGAGATCCACGTCGAGAACTGCGACCAGGTGCCCCAGAACATGCAAGGTCGTCTCGAGCAGGCAGGCCCCCTCCCGCCAGAAGACGACGACGGTGCCGACCCCGGCACTGTCCGATCACCAGGTACGATGATGGCAAGGTGGCGAGGCAGGCCCAGGCTGCCCGAAGCATCGTTCCGAGAGCCCGGCAGGGCAAGCCCGGAAGGAGCTGCCCACCGGCAGAGTGCTGGCCTGCGTCACCGACTCCTCCCAACCGCGCGAGAAGATCGGGGGAACGTAAGACTCGGTTAAGCCGGAACTCGGGCTTGCCGCGTCCCCCGTACCCGAGTCTTACGTCTCCCCGAGGGGGGAGCCGGACGGGCGACGCAGGTCCGGGACACGGACCGGCGCCTCTCGACGTCCACGAGAGTGCGGAGCAGAGCGCGACGGCCACCTCCCTTCACGAGGTGGAGGCCACACTTCCGCACAGCGGGGAGGGCGAAAAAGTGCTCACGTGAACCCCGAGGGTGCACCCCGAGGGCTGTGCTCCTGAGGATCGAGTAGAGGAGCGTGACCCCGCCGGGGAGGCTGCAGGACGACGGCACCGTGAGGTACCAGCATCGCCAGTGAGGTCGGTAGTGGGACTTGGGGGGTGAGATCGCAGCGAGCCAAACGGTTCTCAATGTACCCGTTAGTCGTGAGATCGATCGTGAGATCGGTAGTGAGATCGATAGTGGGATCAGCATTGAGATCGATGTTGATGAGATCGATAGTGAGATCGATAGTGAGATCGACAATGAGATCGATCGTGAAGCCGATAGTGAGGTCGACAGTGAAATCGATAGTGTAAGGGATAGGGAGATCGATAGTTCGATCGATAGTGAGATCGATCGAGTAAGACCAATAGTTGGATCGACTGTGCTATCGGTAGTGAGAGCGATCGTGAGATTGATAGTGAGATCGATCGCGAGATCGATAACGAGATCGATAGTAAGATCGATAGTGATATCGAAAGTGAAGCCGATTCTAAAATCGACCGTGACATCGATCGAGTGATATCGATAGTGGGATCGATCGTGCTATCGAGAGTGAGACCGAAGTGAGACCGATATTGATATCGATAGTGAGATCGATAGCGAAATCGAGAATGAGATCGACAGCGAGATCGATAGTGAGATCGATAGTGAGATCGGCATTGAGATCGGTAGTGATATTGGTAGCGAGATCGGTAATGAGTTCGATAATCAGATCGATTGTGATATCGATCATGAGATCGATTGGGTGAGACGTTGGTTCTCCACAAAAAAACACCTCCTCATCACCCTCGGATGGTCAACGACAACCCAAGGATCTATGTATATCCATCTGTGTATCTATATGTTTAGGTGTAGTTGTGTGTGAGTATATATACATATATATGTGTGTGTGCTTGTTTCTTCCCTGGGCCAAGGCGAACACGCCAGGCTTCGACGCACGCCTCTCAAGGCGGTCCTCGCGCCAAGAGGCTTACAGCTGGGGCGCACTCCTGCGTGAACGCTGCCCCTCACCGAGGTCCTGGGAACGATGTTCTGGGACCCCAGGGGACGGATGTCCTGGGACCCCAGGGGGCGGCGGATGATATGGGATACAGTTGGGCCCCAAGGGGGGCCGAGAATATCGGAGGTCGGGGGCTGAGAGCGCAAGTGGGACGGAGAGCCCCCCACCGGGAAATCCGCTTCGGGCTCGTGCTCGTGTCGTGCGGGCGAGGCGCAGCTGCGTGGGCGCGCGAGGGGACGGATGCAGCGGACCGCCCCTGCGCCCTCGAAGGGCGCGGGGTGGCCCCTGGGTGTCCCGCCATGGTGTCCTGTGGTGTCCCGCTGGTGTCCCGTCGGTGATCCGTCGGCGTTGGGCGGGCGGTGGCCGGGTGTGTCCCGCCTTGGTGTCCATAGTGAAGACGATATAACAAGATCGAGTATGAGATCGCTCGGATGATAATAGTGAGATCGAAAGCGTGATCGACAGCGAGGTTGATTATGATAGAAAGCGGGGACGATAGTGGCATTACATCGCAGCGCAACATCGTCATCACGCGTCGCCGCTAACTCTAAGTCGCGTCAGCAGCATCGCCATCATCACACCCGTCGCATTTGCCAGCAGTTGGTTCTTCCCCACCCATCCAAACCTCCTTATCAACCGAAGGGTGGTCGTATAGGTATCCATATGCGCCGCCTGCCGAGGCACAGGAAACCAGGCCTCACATGCGGTGTAGATGGACAAACCTCAGCCTCGGAGGGGAGGGCGAGACTGGCCCACTTGGAGCTTCTGGAAGTGGAGCTTGGAGCTGGAGCGGTCACCCACCGATCGGGAAATCATATCGGATCGGAGTGTGCGTCGGATCGGGCTGTCGGAGCGGGGTCGAAAAATCGAGTCGGATCGGCTGCGCCAGGATGCACCGCAACTCCATGCAAGCATCGGGCCGCATCACCGAATCGGATCGATCGGATCGACCTGAACCCTGTGGAGGTGGAGGTAGAGACGGAACGGCCCCGACCGTCGGGGAAGAACCTGCCGAAGGCAGTGGCTCTGCACGCCGCCAGGTCGCTCTTCCAGAGCGCGCCTGGGCCACACTTTTTCCGCCACTGCTCCTGCAGCGGTTGGCGCGTCGGGCCGTTCCAGAGGGGCCGGACCGCTGATCCTCGACAGCTGCTTTCTCTGGGCGGGGCTCGACGGCTACTTCCCCCTAGGGTAAGACCCTCCGAAAACAAAGAAAAAAATAATCGGGCCTTTCTTGTTGCATTGTTTCGCCAAGGCCCTGCAGTTTCGCCCTCCGACCAACAAGACTGCCCCCCAAACGAACTTCCGGGCACCCCCTCCCCCCCACAAGCCCCCCTGGTCCCCCAGGCGCCCCCCCCCCCCCGGCGCCCGCCCAAGCGCGGCGGCGGAAGCGCGCGGCAGCACCAGCGGATAAAAAGTAGAGGGCGGCGAGGCGGTCACCAGCGGCGCGCGTGCGCAAGCCTGCGCGGTGTGGGCGTGCACTCGTGGCAAGCCCGCGCAGGAAGCGGGTCGGAAGCTCAGAGTCTGTGGCACGAGGGCAGGGGTCTGAGGATTAGCAATCAAAGGACACCTAACCCTCTGGGAGGGGACCTCAGTTGGGAGGGCCGACAAGATTAGGGATAGGGGGGTCTTTTCCTGCAGCTGTATCGACCCAACCCGCCCATATGTATGATCCCTAATGCAAAGACGGCGACCTCAGCGAGACTGAGTCTTCGTCGTGGCATTAGGGTCAGAAATTCTTCTGTGGGAAGAAACACACACACAGTGGGAAAACACACACACAAAAACACACACACACACATCAAACACACACAGTGGGAAAACACACACACAAAAACACACACACACACTGTGTGTGTGCGTGTGTGTGTGTGTTGTGTGTTGTGTGTTGTGTGTTGTGTGTTGTGTGTTGTGTGTTGTGTGTTGTGTGTTGTGTGTTGTGTGTTGTGTGTGTGTTGTGTGTTGTGTGTTGTGTGTGTGTGTGTGTTGTGTGTTGTGTGTTGTGTGTTGTGTGTTGTGTGTTGTGTGTTGTGTGTTGTGTTGTGTGTTGTGTGTTGTGTGTTGTGTGTTGTGTGTTGTGTGTTGTGTGTTGTGTGTTGTGTGTTGTGTGTTGTGTGTTGTGTGTTGTGTGTTGTGTGTTGTGTGTTGTGTGTTGTGTGTTGTGTGTTGTGTGTTGTGTGTTGTGTGTTGTGTTGTGTGTTGTGTGTGTGTGTTGTGTGTTGTGTGTTGTGTGTTGTGTGTTGTGTGTTGTGTGTTGTGTGTTGTGTGTTGTGTGTTGTGTGTTGTGTGTTGTGTGTTGTGTGTTGTGTGTTGTGTGTTGTGTGTTGTGTGCTGTGTGCTGTGTGCTGTGTGCTGTGTGCTGTGTGCTGTGTGCTGTGTGCTGTGTGCTGTGTGTTGTGTGTTGTGTGTTGTGTGTTGTGTGTTGTGTGTTGTGTGTTGTGTGTTGTGTGTTGTGTGTTGTGTGTTGTGTGTTGTGTGTTGTGTGTTGTGTGTTGTGTGCTGTGTGGTGTGTGGTGTGTGGTGTGTGGTGTGTGGTGTGTGGTGTGTGTTGTGTGTTGTGTGTTGTGTGTTGTGTGTTGTGCGTTGTGTTTTGTGTGTTGTGTGTTGTGTGTTGTGTGTTGTGTGTTGTGTGTTGTGTGTTGTGTGTTGTGTGTTGTGTGTTGTGTGTTGTGTGTTGTGTGTTGTGTGTTGTGTGTTGTGTGTTGTGTGTTGTGTGTTGTGTGTTGTGTGTTGTGTGTTGCGTGTTGTGCGTTGTGTGTTGTGTGTTGTGTGTTGTTGTGTGTTGTTGTGTGTTGTTGTGTCTTGTTGTGTGTTGTTGTGTGTTGTTGTGTGTTGTTGTGTGTTGCTGTGTGTTGTTGTGTGTTGTTGTGTGTTGTTGTGTGTTGTTGTGTGTTGTTGTGTGTTGTTGTGTGTTGTTGTGTGTTGTTGTGTGTTGTTGTGTGTTGTTGTGTGTTGTTGTGTGTTGTTGTGTGTTGTTGTGTGTTGTTGTGTGTTGTTGTGTGCTGTTGTGTGTTGTTGTGTGCTGTTGTGTGTTGTTGTGTGTTGTTGTGTGTTGTTGTGTGTTGTTGTGTGTTGTTGTGTGTTGTTGTGTGTTGTTGTGTTTTGTTGTGTGTTGTTGTGTGTTGTTGTGTGTTGTTGTGTGTTGTTGTGTGTTGTTGTGTGTTGTTGTGTGTTGTTGTGTGTTGTTGTGTGTTGTTGTGTGTTGTTGTGTGTTGTTGTGTGTTGTTGTGTGTTGTTGTGTGTTGTTGTGTGTTGTTGTGTATTGTTGTGTGTTGTTGTGTGGTTGTGTGTTGTGTTGTTTGTGTGTTGTGTGTTGTCGTGTTGTGTGTTGTGTGTATGTGTGTTGTGTGTGTGTGGGGTGTGTGGGTGTGTGGGGTTTGTGTGGGTGTGGTGGGTGTGTGGCCGTGTGTTGGGTGTGGGGGTTTTGTGGGGGTGTGGGGGTGTGGGGGTGTGTGGGGGTGTGGGGGTGTGGGGGTGTGTGGGTGTGTGGGTGTGTGGGTGTGTGGGTGGGTGTGGGTGTGGGTGTGGGTGTGGGTGTGGGTGGGTGGGTGTATGTGTGTGCGTGTGTGCGTGCGTGCGTGCGTGCGTGCGTGCGCGCGCGCGTGCGCGTGCGCGTGCGCGTGCGCGTGCGCGTGCGCGTGCGCGTGCGTGTGCGTGTGCGTGTGCGTGTGGGTCTGTGGGTCTGTCTGTGTCTGTCTGTGTCTGTCTGTGTCTGTCTGTGTCTGTCTGTGTCTGTCTGTGTCTGTCTGTGTCTGTCTGTGTCTGTCTGTGTCTGGCTGTGTCTGTCTGTGTCTGTCTGTGTCTGTCTGTGTCTGTCTGTGTCTGTCTGTGTCTGTCTGTGTCTGTCTGTGTCTGTCTGTGTCAGTCTGTGTCTGTCTGTGTCTGTCTGTGTCTGTCTGTGTCTGTCTGTGTCTGTCTGTGTCTGTCTGTGTCTGTCTGTGTCTGTCTGTGTCTGTCTGTGTCGGTCTGTGTCGGTCTGTGTCGGTCTGTGTCGGTCTGTGTCGGTCTGTGTCGGTCTGTGTCTGTCTGTGTCTGTCTGTGTCTGTCTGTGTCTGTCTGTGTCTGTCTGTGTCTGTCTGTGTCTGTCAGTGTCTGTCTGTGTCTGTCTGTGTCTGTCTGTGTCTGTCTGTGTCTGTCTGTGTCTGTCTGTGTCTGTCTGTGTCTGTCTGTGTCTGTCTGTGTCTGTCTGTGACTGTCTGTGTCTGTCTGTGTCTGTCTGTGTCTGTCTGTGTCTGTCTGTGTCTGTCTGTGTCTGTCTGTGTGTGTCTGTGTCTGTCTGTGTCTGTCTGTGTCTGTCTGTGTCTGTCTGTGTCTGTCTGTGTCTGTCTGTGTCTGTCTGTGTCTGTCTGTGTCTGTCTGTGTCTGTCTGTGTCTGTCTGTGTCTGTCTGTGTCTGTCTGTGTCTGTCTGTGTCGGTCTGTGTCGGTCTGTGTCTTTCTGTGTCTGTCTGTGTAGCATCTTGGACTGTCTGTGCCGTCTTGCAGCCCTGCCCACTTGTGGTCTGTCTGTGTCTGTATGTGTCTGTCTGTGTCTGTCGTGTCTGTTGTGTCTGTCTGTGTCTGTCTGTGTTTCCTGTTATCTGCCTGTGTTGTCTGTTGTCTGTCTGTGTCGTCTGTGTCATGTCTGTGTTCTGTCTGTGCCTGTCTGTGCCTGTCTGTGCCTGTCTGTGTCTGTCTGTGTCTGTCTGTGTCTGTCTGTGTCTGTCTGTGTCTGTCTGTGTCTGTCTGTGTCTGTCTGTGTCTGTCTGTGTCTGTCTGTGTCTGTCTGTGTCTGTCTGTGTCTGTCTGTGTCTGTCTGTGTCTGTATGTGTCTGTCTGTGTCTGTCTGTGTCTGTCTGTGTCTGTCTGTGTCTGTCTGTGTCTGTCTGTGTCTGTCTGTGTCTGTCTGTGTCTGTCTGTGTCTGTCTGTGTCTGTCTGTGTCTGTCTGTGCCTGTCTGTGTCTGACTGTGTCTGTCTGTGTCTGT